AAATAGATGAGACTGATGTGTATATTACTGCCTGTGGTTACAGGCTGCAGGATTGCTCAGATCTTTTTTCTGCTCCCACAGCATCTTGCCCCAAGTTGGAAGTATGGTTTAGTTTTATGGAAATAAAGAGACAAAGATTTATCGTTTGCTTTTTTTCCTTCAGATGTCCAATGTACCTGTTGATAGTCATGTTCTTGAAAAGAGGGGTGGAGGAAATCATCTTGTTGATTCTGACTGAAATATGTTTGTCGCGATCAGAAATCTGCTTGGCCTTCTTCTGATTAACTCACTGTCATGGTTGCTCTGGTTTAGGATAGGATCACCTGAGGTTTTGGTCTGTGTGTGTGTATGGGGAGGGGGAGGGGGGGGTAATTTTTTTTCTTCTAGTTCTAGATAGGATCACATTAAGGTGAGTGTCAGGGATAATTACTCTGGTTCAGGATAGGATTGCATGAGTTTTGTTCTGTTTGGCAAAGATCTTTTTTTTTCTCGCTGCACTGCTCGTGATGGCAGGTCGTCATGCTAGGGGATTGGTTGTTATTTTATTTGACTAACAGATGGGTTTTTTGTTTTGCTTGTTTTTGTTTTTTTAAAATAAAATAAGGTCATTGTCGTGCTCACCGGCTGCGGTGTTGTGGTTAGTCGCATTGCTGTTGGAGGGAGGAGGCGTGAGTTCTATTCCCACATGGGGAGGTTATTATTCTATTGAGTATCCCTATCTGCTGGGATCTTGTATCATTGTATCCCTCTCAGCCAAGTGGGTTGAAAGCAGCCCACCTCCTAAATGATCTAAATTGTGTTGATACAATCATCATGGTGTGTACTCCTGACACAACAACTGTTCTCGTAATGCAGCATACAATATCACTTCAGTTGTTGCTCTGGATATACAATGGAACCCTGATAACACAAACTCAGTGGGACCAGAGAATTTGTTCATACAAAGCAGGGTACAACAATTGAACATAACAAAAAGGCTTCTTGTTAAACAGTCTACTACTTATACATGCATTCAACTAAAGATTTTTTTTCTTTTGGACTTTCCTTAGCAGAGCTGTAAAAGATCTTCCTGACAAGAATTTATGAATAGTAGTATTTTCAGTTTGTGAAATTAGGTTTTAATACAATAGAATAACTCTCTTTGCTATGTCCCTATCGTCTGCATTCATCAACTAAAGATTTTTTGTCTCTTGGACTTTCCTTAGCTGAGCTGTAAAAGATCTTCCTGACAAGAATTTATGTATAGTAATATTTTCAGTTTGTGAAATTAGGTTTTAATACAAATACAATAGAATAACTCTCTTTGCTATGTCCCTATCGTCTGCATTCATCAACTAAAGATTTTTTTTCTCTTGGACTTTCCTTAGCTGAGCTGTAAAAGATCTTCCTGACAAGAATTTATGAATAGTATTTTCAGTTTGTGAAATTAGGTTTTAATACAATAGAATAACTCACTTTGCTATGTCCCTATCGTCTTGTCAGTAGCCCATAGGTCAGTCCTCCCTGTAGGCTGAGGGGATGTGAATGGGTATCATTGTGCTTAGTAGCGTTTGCAATGTTGAGCAAGCACATCTGTGCTTCTTCCTGCTGGTTTACATGTCTTTCTTTGTTGCATTTTCTGAGAAATCAGCTAAAATATGTTTATATGGATATATATTATATGATATATATGTCTGAGCAAGTTGAAATAAAAATAAGAAGTATTGGCAACTCTTGTTTAGCTTTGTTTTATGTTTATTTTATTTTTTATTTGAATGCGAGTTGTAAACCAGTCTGTTGTTGTTTCTTTTTTTTTTCTATCTTCTTTGTTGTTTTCCGTAATTTTTGTGTTTCTTTTTCTTTCTGCTTTTCGGGTGGTTGCTTTGTGCCACTCATAGACCCAATTTCTTTTCTTTCCCTCTGTTATTTCTCTCTGTCACTCTTACTTTTTTGATGCTCTAAGTGGATGCTTTAGTGATGATTTGCTCCTCTGTTCTCTATTCAAACAAATAAATCAATTATTTGTGGTGGGGGTTCACATTATAAAAGGTTACATATTTGCTAGCATGGTCAATAAGACTTGACTACAGCCTTTGGTCGTCTATAATTATAATACAACCACTCAAAAAAAATAGATGCTTGTCGAGCAGTCAGGGTGGATGGTTGGCAGGTGCTCTGGTGTGGTTTGCTCCTTCTTTCCTATCAAACATCTATCGTCCATATCTCCCCTCCTTCTATTTTATGTTTGTTTCTCTCTTGTAACACCTCTAACTCTAATCTTCGGCACTTATATGACTTTATTATTGTGTTGCAAGTGCTGTAAAACTCTTACTACAGTACAACTAAATACAGTCCAGTCAGGATCGGGCTTAACAATGGGAAAGCTATGCTGAATAAGATTTTCCATTGAACAATTGCATTGGCATTTTGCTCGCCTAACCTGCCACTCTAGTCTCACAAGTTAAATCAATCTGAATGTAACGACCAACTGTTCTTTCAGGTGGGGCACTTTATTTGATGCTGGACTAGTACTTGATTTCATGGATGTTGATCCCCCTCCATGTAAAAAATTGGCCCCTGTACATGTATTCTGCACACAACCTTAAAAAATAAGCTGATTTTAGAGTCAAAAGTAATCCCCTGTATTTATACTCGAGGTTGTAGTTATATAGATGAGTTAAGTTGACTATGTATGAGTTCATGTCGCTGGGGGAGTGAAATAAAGATCAACTCTTCCGAAGTTCAATTTAACCGATGGGACCTGTAAAGAAAAAGAGGTTGTGGGACCCTAGAAAAAGATCATCTTAACCCGAAGATCAACTCAAGAGAGTTCGACTAAAGTAGTAAAATCGTCTTTATATAATAAGTATGATATATTGCAACATTGCAAGCGAGCAAAGTTTTGAAGCTACATATAACTACTGGTTGGTAGATTCTAATTCTTCACTTTCCTTCTGTTTGTTTTGTTATGTATCTAACACTAAGTGACCGTTATTGTCACAATGTGCTTCTATTCTAGCTCTCTGTAGTCGAACTCAAATTGTGTGGTACAGAATGATGATTTAGTCACTAAAGAGTAAAGTGTTAGCTCAGAGTTTGGTATCTGATGGGACTGTTTAGTATGGATGGTCCTGGTTCAAGTCCCCTTTGGAACAGTCTTCATCAATGTGGGTTGTTTGGCATGTTTTCATGTCTTCATGACATTTGGATGGCAGGAGGATTCCGGTGGTAGTTCTTACTTTTTTTATTTTTCCCCATTTGTCTTTCTGCCTCACTTCTTCCATGCACTAAATGACCGTTGCTGTGTCGATGTGCTTTTTTTCATCAGTCATTGTACAGGCCCAACGCTCCTTAGTTTCAACACTAAGGCTATTTAAGAGATGGGACCTCCGAATTTAACGTCCATCTACAGGGCTGAGTAGATGGTTGGCAAGTACTCTGGTGTGGTTTGCTCCTTCTTTTCTATCAAACATCTATCGTATCATCCTGATTTATCCTTTTTTTTGTGTTTGTTACTCTCTTGTAATATCACCAATCTTCGGCACTTATATGTGACCTTAATAATGTGTTGCATTTAAACTTTTGCTAAAATTTAAAAAAGACAGGACCAAGCCCAACAGGTGGAGAGCCTTAAAAATTTCCCAAAACAACCCAATTTCAGAACTCGAACCAGAGCCATCCACTAGCAGTTCAACATGACATCAGCTGAGCTAATTTAATGGTACACCCCAGGCCTCTTTATACCCGAGCAAAAATCTCTTTAAAAATCCTGAACCACCTAGAGCTATCGCTAGGTTTGATTGTATTAGAGATGGAAGAGTGGGTGGTTGGTGGGTGCTCTCACAGTTTGCTCCTTCTTTCTTATGAAACATCTATCCATTCCTTATCTCTCCTTTTTTTGTGATTGATACCTGCACTTATTATGACCTAATTGTATTGCGAGTGCCATTAAACTCAAAACAGATGGCGGTTCTCAGCTTTTACATGACTGTACTGTTCTGAATGAGGCGTAATATCCATACTTTCTGTAAATATAATCATATCTACTGCTCAGTGTAAGACTGTCATGAATCTGTTTTTAATGTGTTATATGGCAGAGTCTTTCACTAAGCAGTTGTGATATGAAGTAAGTGGAGAAAATTGTTCTTTCTCAAACGTCACTCCCGTCAAGTGGGGTGTAAGTCAAAGAAGAATGCTTTAATTGAATTGTTCAATTTTATGTATGTATTGTCCAGCATTCAATATTTCCATCTATCAAAACCTATCTCTAATATTATCATCTTCAACTCCAGTACATATACATTTAGTAATCTTGACTGGCAGTGAAATGCTCTCCATTTTTGGAATGTTGCATAGCAAAGTTCTCTCACAATTGGTGCATTTTGCATTTATGGGTGTTTTTTTCTTTATGCTTCTTCCGTTCTGAAAATAAGTTCCTTTGTGTGAATTTTATGTCAAACAAATTCCTTTTGAATGAAGTTTATTTGTTCTAAATTTAATCTTTCTAGAACAACATTTGCACGAGATATTTAGAAAAAAAGTTGTTAAGTTTTTTTTGGGATCACCCTGTATTTGGTAGTAATACTAGTATTACCCTGCGCCGGCCATATATTGCATTATCATGATAGACCATGGTCAGTCAGCTTGGGTTTTGGGTATGACCTCATTATCGCTGTGGATCGTCAACTGGTTCAGCACCAAGTTAAGAGCACTATAGACCATTGACTCACATTCAGAATCTCTCTTTCTCAAGCGAATGTTTATATGATATTCATCTGATGTTGTGAAATTATTGTATTTCGTACTCCTGTGGGAAACAATAAAAAGTGGTATCTAAAAAGAAAAAAAGAGTCCAGGCCTTTATGTAGAAAGTTTAGTGAACAGCACAACACTACACATGTCACAACCGTGCCAATCCTGTGCTCAACATTTATTAGGGTATAGCCATTATATTTACAAATACATTGTACTATTGCAGTGTACAATGTGGACAGGAAGAATTTAGCAAAAAACACTAAGGCTTTTATGGAATGGTTTCACAATTTTTGAAATGCATACATTCATATAAATGTACCTCTCCAAGCATCTAAGAAATCTTCTTGAAAGTCACATGTTCTGCAATAGATATAACATATATATATATACAAAATGTATTTCCGTATTGAACTTAAAAGTTAAAGCATATAACTTTATCTTACTAAGTAAAACTAATCGAGCCCCACTCCGCTTTTAGTTTTACTGAACTGATATTGTCAAATGATACCATAAATAACCTTTGTAATGTCCCATGGCATCCAGACCTGGACAGCTAAAAACTGTAAAAAATGAAAATTACAGTTTTTTTAACAGTAAAAGTTTTGTGGTGCTGTTATCTAAAGGTTCTGTGCCCTCTGCAATTTAATACTAAAGGACAGACAAGACAGATTGTTAGATAGGAGAGGGGTAAAGTAAAGGTAAAAGAGAGCCCTGAACTTAAATGTTGCACAAGCAAGATTACGAGATGAGGGCTGCTTCTGCCTGGGGGTTCGAACCATCCACCGGAATGTTCTGTGGGCTTTTCATCCCCGTTATCCTGTTCTGAGGGGTTGGCGGCTTCTCGGCACGGTTCTGCAGGTCGGCATCAGGAGTCTTGAGGCCACCAGTCACGGCGTTGTTATTGTTCTGGGCCAACGGCGAGACCAACTTGCGGGCGTCCTCCTGCACATTGATGTCGGCCACGGCCATCGGGGTCACGGGTTTAGGAGACTGGGCATGGCCCACGGGGGACTTGCATGCGGGGCTCTTGGCGGTGGGCCAGTTGAGGCCCTCGGCGCTCGCCTTGCGGGACATGGCGCGTGGCTGATTAGAGGCATAGTAGGTACTCTCAATCTGAGGGCAGGGCATCTGTGTCGACGGTTGACCACCCATGCCTCCAACTGGCTCGCAGATCATGCCTGCTGGAATCTGGTCATCAGGGGCATCCATCTTCACCGGAAGTGGGTCAACAGTCTGAATAAAAACAAGCCAGAGAATGGTAAAAGTACAAGAACCTTTTAATAATAATGTTGGCCATTTTGCATAAAAACATTCAATTTGTTATCCCTCTTCTATTAAAAAACAAGAAAAAAAATTCCATGAAATTGAACACAATTAAAAATGATAGTGATAGTGATAGAATTTAATCTCAAGAGCACTTGCTATTTGTTAAAAAATGTCAATAGAATTGATAAAATCTGACGTTCCCCCAAGCCTTTCTTTGCTTTGAAATGCATCAGTTCTTTACGACAAAAGTCTTAAGCTAGATTCAAAGGGCACTACAGTTACTATTTTTAGCTGAAAATAGCAAACAATAAAATGAATTGATATCATATCAGACTATAGTGCGAATGATTTAGGGTAATTTCAGGGAGTTTTCATGGCTCTCCGCAAACTTGTCTTGGTCGTATCGGAAGACCACATTAAATTCAGAGGTCCCACCTCTTAATAAACAACCTTACAGGCATTAAACTCATGTGTTAACCATTAAAAAAAATAAAACAACATCAGAGACTCACATGGCATCTCTTCAAGGCTCCACTGATGACCACATCTCCCTTTTCTTTCATGGACTGACCCTTCAGGACGGCGCCCTCTGACCTGGCAGTTGGGTTCAACACTCTGTTTCCTGAGGATAATTATGTGTAAACACTTTAAACGAGGGTTCCTCTGCATAAAGGATAATAATTATATTAATAAATATTATTTGTATTGCACTTCATCTGTCCCATTAGGAAACAAGCTCTGAGCCCAAATGAATAAATAATAGATCAATAAGATATAATCTTTATTGAACTCTGTGGGAAAATTTGGGTTGGAATGGTCACTACAATGAAGACACCAAAAAATTGATCGAAAAAAAAAGGTGCAAAATTGATCAATCTAGTTTAAATTCACATACCCAGTAACCACATACATCTAATACTGTCTTCAGTTTAGCTAAGCATTATTTAAGAGCCTGAGCTCACCAACCACCCAACCGATGGCAACCCCCCTCTATAATTGGGGGGGGGGGGTTCAAAGTGCAGAGAAGGGAAGCATTTAATTGCCCTTAATTACGGTTCATTCTGCTGTACTTTGTGTGAACTGAGAAAGATCATATTCATACTGTGAACAAAAAGGACTGGGAAGTAGAAAAGAATAGGCTGCCAGTTTTTGGTTTGTTTTCATGTACAGTGTTTTAAACCCCCATGGACACTTTAGATCATTTTGGAAAGGGGGGGGGGGGGGTGGGAGGGTGTGATTATCTTGCCTGTCAGGGCCAAACGGGACTGAAAGAGATACTTCAAAGCAGAAAGACCGATCTCGAGATACTCAATAAAAATTCTCCCTTCTCGGAAACTGAACTTGGGTCTCCTGCGTGCTGCTATAATTAATGAAGCACCACAGACACTGGTAGTGGTGCTCGCTGTGCCAATATGGGTTTACAACTTGCTGCGTCCAACTTCAAACACGTAACAAAAAAGTGCCTAAACTCACCTGGAATCTTAGTCGGCATGTCCCACGTCCCTACATACGCCCCCCAAGGTGAGGTTCTCTCTCTCGGGACATTGGGAAGCAGATGCCCTCTGTCGTTGGCCTTGACCCTCGTAAAACCAGTTTGGCTTTGTGGATACTGTGAAAACAAATCAATTGCAAAATTAAGAAATGTTGATTTTCCTTTTTTTCAAATACACATAGATTTTCTTTACTTTATCCCCAATTAAAAGTATTGTTCTGCGATTGAAATCTGTTTCAAAGGGAGAAAGTAGATCTACTTATTTTTACTTGTACACTCTAAGGTGTTGACGGCTGATGTGAGAGTTGTTGAGGCTGATTTAGTCTGCCATAATGTGAGTTGCTATTTCGGTATTTATCCTGTTTTCAAAAAAAATTTATATCACCAAACATTTAAACTCCTTCACAAATGAGCTGTACTTCCTATTTCCTTTTTATCATGAAGATGTTACTTCATAATTGTCTTTTATACTTACTTGGTTTGCCTGTTTTCAACAGAAAAACTTCCTGTTAAATTGACCCTTAGAATCCAAGTTCTCAGATACACAAGCATCGCGAAATTAAAGATACATTTATAGCCTACGTAGATATCTCTACTTATATGCATATTCATATTTTAAATTAAAATGTACTGACTTTTTTATATTCATTTAAGAAGTCTTACTTGTATGTTTTAATTTAAGAATTGTCTGCTATATAATATATAATAAATATGTTAGCCTTATACTTTGTTTTAAGTTTTGATACAAATAATTATGGCACCTCCTTTCCATCGCACTCAATCTATCGACGGTCTTGTCTGTCTGTCTCTCTATCGGTGTGTCCATCTTTCTGTAGCCGTTTATCTGTCAGTCTGTTTGTCAGCTCCCTTCCCCACCCCCTTTATTTTTCTTTACGTTAAATCTCACAATCTCAGCAAAACTCACCTTTCCTTCTTCGTTTTTGGGTACCTCCCAATTTTGTAAACGGTGAGGGGTGAACGCTTGTTCATACTGATGAAAAAACAAAACAGACAAATTTAGTGACTAGTGACATACTATGGCTAGTAGTAAAAATAAAGCGCATTACCCCGCTCTACAGTAAGCTCTAAAAATGGGCTTTACACTATAATTAGGCCTATTAAACGCAGTTTTGAACAAAAGAAGAATCCGTAACTTAAGTGCTTTCTGGTTCATCTTTTATCCTTGGTATGAGAATGTTACTTCACTTAAACAACATTAATAAAGTTTAAAGATCAAGGGGGGGGGGGATCACAAAAACTACTCTGCTACCGTACTGTCGCAAGCTTACATTGTTAAGTCAAACTTTATATGGCACAAGTGAAGTGATGCAGGCATTCATTCATTATGGTATAAAGAAGACCAAGAGCAATTCAGTTTTAGTATTCTTCATTGACTTTTAAACCTCCTAGATCTAGACATGTATTTGAATAACAATTTACAACACTAGCGGTGAAATAAATGTTCGATCAGTGCAGGAGCAGTGGGGGATATATAGATCTATAGAATTGTGGCTATGCTATGCTATGGTCTGTCACTATGGACGAATAATTTAAAAAGGTGTGGGAGCTGTATTCGATTTCACAATTTAATTTCATACAATGAAGTGAAAGGAGTCTTACTTGATTAGCGTGAAAATTGATACTCATTGTGTTAATTTGTTGCCGTCACTCGCAGCCTATCCAAAACAAGACACCAAGCAAACGTTCTCCAGAACCTGCCTGTTGCTATCCAATGATTTACCGGTTGCTATGCCATACATAGTAGCCTCGCAGAATTTATAACATGTTGAGTTTGATAATATTTGTATTTCCTCAAATTATTTTTAAAAATAGTATAGATCTAGTAAGAATAATTGGTTATTTTTAGGATATTTGTAGATTAAATCATATAATATGAAATGGTCATTATTCTATTTTCTATTTACGCCGCTACTTCTGTTTTGCGGTGTCCAACTTCCGCCTGACAATTTCCGTTTCATGTTGCTTTTTCATCTCATGTTGTAGTTCAGTGTTGTTGCAAAGTTGAGAGTGCGGAGTTGACAACAGAATTTATAACATATATATTTCATCCTGACAGTTGATATGACTTTCTTCCACTTTGGCAACTGTGTTGCACTGGCATATGTTCCATATGTCATAGTGTACAAATGTTCGGGGCTGTAAGTTTCTTTTACTTGACTTTTGAGTTTGACTTGGCTGGTCTTGAATTTGAAAGACTTGAACTGATCTAAGTTAAATAATTGATTGAGACTGAGACGAGTCTTGGGATTATTATGATAGATATCTATAGTCCAAAGGTCTAGATATAGATCTCTAGATTTGGGAGGACTTCCGCAACGACGACCACTACATGACAGAGTGGAACAGAGGGGTAGGGTTAGAGTTTGGGGTAGGGTGAGGGTTTGTTGGCGCTTTTTCGGTAGTTCCCACCCCCCTTATTTGATAGAGCCTGACCTACATCTAGATCTATATATACGTTTGATTCGCGGCAAGCTAAGATGTCAAACC